ATTTTCTATGTAGAGCGTGGAGTACAAGCCATAAGTTCCTCCCCCCCGCCATGTTTTGATACCCATTTCCAGATAGCACGAACTGGTGCGTGAGGATTTCCCTCCTTCCCAACACACAGTTCTATTTTTCTAGTAAAACATAAGTGGCTTTGCATATATTCATATGAAAATACAGGTATATGATGCTTGGAAATTAAAGTGCACTGTCTAATGATAGTGCCCTCAGGTCTTCATTAGGGCTGAGAGCCGTGTTGTGGTATAAGCCTGTACAAACCCTTCTACAGAGCATATGTTGACCAAGTCATGATTTTTAAGAGCACAAAGTGCAGCAGCAATTGCTCTTTTTTTTTTTTTTTTTTTTTTTTTTTTTTTTTTTTTTTTTTTTTTTTTAATTTTATAAAGCTCACAGAAGAAGTAGAATCTACTTTGTCAGGAAAGATGATCAAAGTCTGCTTTCTTATATGTGGCCCCTTATTGTAATTCATTACTTGGTCTTTCAATTTTCAGACATAGAGAGGAAGATATCTACCCAAATCTTCATGTAACATGCAAAAACAATGAGCTCTTGATGGAAACTAGCTGTCATCTGAGCTTGTGTAAGATAACCAAAACCCATCTGTACAGAAAATACGCTACTCGGAAAGTACAGCAGGTCCTTTGGCTTAGGTTAGAGGGGTTTTTTTTTATAGAAAAACTTTAAAAAGCAAAAGAAGTTGTAGTCATAAATTGGGAGACTTTCTATGTTTGCTAAAATCATTATCTTCGGAAGGTGAAAATAAACAAAAAAATAAACTCAAGAAAATCTTACTCTAGAACAGCACACCTGTTAATTTTCTGAAGAAGAGCATGGAATGCTGGAGATGCAAAGAGTAGAGATCAGTAGCATTCTTCAAAGGCAACCGTTACATTTTCATAAAAGTATTTCTTTCTTGGTGTGGTTAGTTGTAACATTTGTCTGAACAGCCAGCTTGTCTTTGGTCTATCTTCTGTATTTTTGGCATTCTTGGCTCTTAGATGAAATAGCCCTTTGGGTGAAATTGCCCTGTAGCTGTAATTTCTTTAATACAGCTCCACTTGTTTGGTGCAGGTACACTCTGGGTATTATTTGAATGGTAAAAACATGCTACCCGATTCCCAGGCTGTTTTGACAGGTAGAGGATCTCTTCTGAGCTACAGTTCCACAAACATATCAGCTTGGCTTCTAGGTGGTTTGTCTTCCTTTTCAGCCATTACTAGTAGTATTACTCAACTACAGGTCCACATTGACACAAAATCTTGGAGCAAAATTTAGCGGTGGTATCAACCTATAAAACCTTTTAATCTGGTGTTTGAGAAAGTACAGAAATCAAGCTGTCGGATGACTTGTGGTTCTGCTCCATTAACTGGTTTTAACCATTTCAATGAGGTTGAATTTGCAAATCTGTTGCAGTAGCTTTTTAAAACAACAGTGTATTTAATAGTACATTTCCTTTAAATGTATGCAGCCCATGATAATTAAAAAAAAAATCTTTATTTTTTTTGTATCTGTGTTCCCTTCTGCTGAAGAAGGTATAAAGGAAGGGAGAAATTCTGGCTGCAAATGGTTAGAGCAGTGTCCTGCAGAGATCCTCATGGCAAAGATGTGCGCTGCTTCATTATTTTATAGCAACAGGTGTGCTGGCTTAGCACAGAATAACTATCATGCTTTCTCCCCTTCAATTATACCTCTTCCTGGAGCTGGCAGCTGCAACAAAGATCAGCCTCCTCCCCTGCTGTACAGAGCCTCAGTAATTTGTTATTCCATCTGGTTGAGGTCTGCAACCTGACCAGATCAGCACCTTACACAGGGGTGAGGGGAGCAAGAAAGATATGCATCCCCCTTTACATTTTGAACTCCTGACATCCTTCTGTACTTGCAAAGGGCCCAGTCCCTGCTCATGTCTTCACTCCTGAGTGAATTCCGATTAACTCCTCTGTGACTCTGGTAGGAGCAGCTAGCCTGCAAAAAGCCCATGAGCTGCAGAGATCAGGTTATGGCAGTGAGTTGACTGTCTTGGAGTTGGACTAATTGGAGCTCTCTAGACTCTGTCCCCCCTGACGTGGCCTTTCAGGGTTTTTCCTCCTCATTTAAGGTTGTATGTATACAGGGAGGATGTGAATTAGAGGCAGCACTCAAAGTAAATTCTGCAGTGATATTTTTGATATATACTTGTGCTGTATATCAGTTGTATTCTTTTCCCCCCTTCCCCCTTTTCCATGTATATTTTGAAGAAGGTGGCCTTTCAACATTTGAGGTTGAAGTAGTTGGACAAAATGTGTGGATTTGCATGAGGGGGAGCTGGGATGAGGATACTTGTTCTTATTTCTAGTCCTTCTAAACTTCACCAGTGGTTCTGCCCAACCGGAGAAAACATGCGTCTATACCTTTGGGAAAATATGGCACTACTTTATTTTGATTACAGAAAACATACAGAAAATATCCTGTTCTTCTGCTATTTTAAAATGCTGTAAATCATGTGGCTTCCTGTAATGTCATGTGTGTCATTGTTTAATGCAAGGTAGGGGTTGGGAAAGGTGGGTGATGTACTTTCTGCATAACTTAACTTCAGGAAAGTTAATGGTTTGACCTTCATCCATAGGAAGGGAAGAGATAGGAAAGCTGTGGTTTTAATGCTCGGAAAAGTAAGGAAGAATCATAAAGACAGGAAAGGGAAAATACTTTTTAACACATGATCTCATTGTTACTTTTCTCACTGGTAATTTATTAGCCCAGCAAATGTTGGCTATGACAATTAAATAGTGCTTGACCTCACTGCAAAAGGACTGCTAGATTTAACAGAACAAGCTTAATTCTGAGAGATCTTAATATTCTGAGAGATTGGAGTTGACATTTGCCATGTTGTGAATGAGGGGATTTGTGATGTCCACCTGAATGTTGAGTAACTTTTTTTTTTAATTGCTTTTTCCAGTGATGTGTGAGACTGGTTGCATTAGAAGCAAGGGACAGTCTGCACAGTCAAGGGAGATGCAGCATCCCAGGGTGTGTTTGGCAATTGAGAACTTCTGCAGAATGGCAGATGGATGTGTTTTGTTTCAGAAAATTCCATAATTAGGAATTTTGTATATTCCTTGTAAAGTGGAGTTGGTTAAAATTTTCGCATCTTTAATCTACTTAGGGGTGACATCTGCCTCAAACCTCAAATAATTGAGATCTAGTAGAATGTCAGTGAGGCCACTCAAGAAAGTGAGACATTAGAATAAATCTTTAAAACCTGCTTCTGACTCTGACAGGCAGCCTCAATTTCAGTAGTGAGGGTTTTTTTTTCAGTGTATGTTCACTGAAGATTTCTGGGATCAGATGTATATCATGCATTAATGCCACTAGCAGGCAAAAATCTGGTGGCTTAATTTCTTTCTTATGCATGTGCAAAAATAAAAAGAGCAAGGGAAATCTGCTGCTACTTTTTTGTTGGTGTGGTTTTTTGTTTTGGGTTTTTTTAAAAATATTTAATCTATGACTTGTTTTAGGAATGAAGAGTGAGTTTTGTGTGTGGCATCCTTTTATATCCATTTTACACACTTAGACCTCAGGCCTGGTTTATACATCGAACAGTGTACTGGTACTCTCAGACTTGAGGATGCTCACATACGTATCTGAATGCTTCTGTATAAGCAGAGTGCTGGAAGAGTAAAGATGCCCCAGTATTGGAAGAACCTGTTTGTCTTGGCAAGATGATGTTTGGGTATTTTTTGCAATTAGTTTGTAATTCAGCCTTTTAGTGAAGCAGCTGTCTCCGAAACACCTTTCTGAATCTGAGTGATAGTTATGTCTGCATAGGCTTGTTTTGTATACGTGCTCCTGTTCCTCTTCTGTGTACACTCCTGCTGCTGGGGACAGGGCAGGAGTCTCGGGGAGAGGGAATGGTAGTCTGGCTTGTTTCCACTGTTTTTTGTGGTTTTTCTGCACCCTCACCTGAAGGCAGGCTATCCTAGGGGGTTTCTTCTAGTCCTGCTGGAGCTGGAAAATGGAGGTGCTGAAGGGAGGCAGATGTGAAAAGGAATAACTTGCTCATTTCACTTCTGCTACTTTGTGCACGGATCTCCCTCTCCCTGCCCTTGCCTCTCCTCTTCCCCTCGTTGGCCAAAAATCTCAATCTATAACAAGACTAGCTTTTAATCTTTTGAGTAGCTTGGGCTTTGCTGTGAGGCATTCAAAGATAGAAGCTGAGTCACTGGAAAAAGAGTTGATTCTTTTATCTTAGTGTATCTGGTATCGTGTTCATATTCAGTTAAAAAAGAGACCTTTGTTTCTCCACTGGTGAGGAGGCTTTGGGAGTGTGGTGAGACTAGTCATTTCTGATGTGTGTTTCTCTGATCCCATAGCATATAGTTGAAGCTCAATTGCTGCTCAGTTGGTTGTTTTGAACTACATAATTTCGTTTAAATTGCACATTTTGTAAACTGACTTGAAGAGTTAATAACTGTTTTAATGCTAACTTGTAAGAACATAGTCCAGGTTAAAAATAATATTACAGCTGTTGGAACCAGACTGAGTTCAAGGCCTATTAGTATTGTCTTCAGAAAAAATATCTGTCGTTATTAGTAAGGTTTTGGGTTACAGGCCATTACATGATTAGCAGGATCACAAGTGCAGCAAAATGAACTGCATGTCAGCACTATAACACACTTACTTCCCAGCATTTCTTTGTGCGAATAAAAATAAAATGCAGAACTGCGGTTTGTTCTTGGCTTTTCTTCACTGGCCCTCTGTGAAAATAAGCTCCCATCTGGCAAACCAGGTAGCTAGCATGATCGCTATGAATTCAAGCTATGCAGTAACCGGATATAAGGAAAAGAGTTCTTGCTTAGACATGCGCTCCTAGATTTGACTACCTTGTTTTTAAGACAGATGGGAATGTGCCCTAGGGAAGGAATAATGTGGAGTGTTTTTTTCCCTGTATAGCCTAGTCCTTCAGAACTGAGTCTAACGCTATGGCTTTTCTTTTTTTCTCCCTTTCCAGTCCTTCCTCCGGTGCTGGTTCCAAGGCACAGCGAGTACAACCCCCAGCACAGCCTCTTGGCCCAGTTCCGCAACCTGGGACAAAATGAGCCCCACATGCCACACAACGCTACTTTCCCAGACTCTTTTCAGCAACCCAATAGTCACCCGTTCCCTCACTCACCCAACAGCAGCTATCCAAACTCGCCTGGAAGCAGCAGTAGCACGTACCCGCATTCTCCAGCCAGCTCAGACCCGGGAAGTCCTTTCCAGATGCCAGGTATGGTCAACTTTGGTTTCCCTTCAGAAGGGAGAAGGTAGTTGCACACCACTGGTATCATGATTTTTTTTGCTTAATAATACTAAATTATCAGCTAACATTTGTGTTCAATAGCAAACTGAGAGATGTAAGGTAATAAAGACTCTAATCACTTTGTCTAGTAAGGATATTGAGTGGCTTAATATTGTGCCGCTTTCAAACACAAAACATTACAGTAAAACTCTTCTGGGGCAGGGGGAGGGATTCAAAACGTTGAACTGGATTGCAGAAGAGTTTAGCATACAAAGCACAGTGTTTAATGCACAAGAAGTGTAATGCATCAGTCCATCCTTCCTTAGAAAAGAGATCATCATAAATGTAGCACAAGGTTTTAGTTCTGAAAAAGAAGGATGTTTCTCAAGGGGATCATGTTATTGCTACTTGATAGAATTTTTTCACATAATGTCATAATTTCAAGAAACAAATTACTTTAACTGAAAAACAGTTCCTTAAGGCCCTGAACAGAAATCTTCAGGCAGTTTTACTTCCTAAAGTCAAAGGAGTAACAGCCTTTCTTTGCTGACTGATATCCATAGAAAATTCTGTGAAGCTGTCTTTCTTTGGTCTTTATATGCAGATGGATAAAAACACTGCAGAAGCAGTCTGTGACAGATTTGATCTAGATTCTAGGATTCCATACAAATGCTTACTCATGTTCTGTTTGCATGTTTTCTTCGGGGGCTGAGGGAGGGCGTGGGTAAACAAAGTGGCAGACTTGTGAAAATCTGTTTTCTATTACACAAAATCCAGAGATTTCTGCTGCTGATAGTTGTTTCTCTAAAATGTTTCTCTTGTGAGTGAAGACTACTGAATTTGGAGGGGCAGGAGGGAAGGAAAGAGAGTTTGTATTAGCTTTTCTAAACAATGTGAAAACTTGACACAAAACCAGCTCTTTCCTTCCTTTTTTTTTTTTTTTTTTTTTTTTTTTTTTTTTTTTTTTTTTGCTTTTTTTAAATATGATTGGTATGGTTGGGGCTTTTCCAGAAGAGATAAAGGCTTCTCTAACAAGGTCTTCCTGAACACTGACTTGTGGAATTTCACTTGATCTGTGAGGGTCTTTTCTGTCCACATGCCTATAAAGACAAGTCAGCAGCTGCAGTGAAGAAATTGAATTAGAAGAGAGGTCAAGATACTGATGTCCTTGATGCTTAGCTCTGGACAGTTGTCCGTCTTGCCCTAATGGGGGAGGAGGCTGACTTTTGAAAAATAAATAAATAAAAAAAAAGCAGCAAGGCAGCTATTCAGAGATCTTGAAAACTTTCTAGATACTGGCTAATTTGTTGCCTGTGACCCTACAACCTTGTTTCCCTATCTGTGCATCGCTAACATGTTTGCACACACACAAGAACATTTAAGGCTTAGTAAAACACAAGGCTTTAGCTCTCTTAAGCTTTTAATATAGTCCTGTTGTCATTTGTCTTTCTCTGCCGCTCTCTTTCCAACTGAGGGTATTCAAGTAAGGGAATTAGCAAGGTACCTGCCAGCATTATATGTAAAGCTCTCAACAGAGTATCTCCTAAACAATAAGCAGTTAATAGATTTCATTAATATATGGTTTGGTTTTTTTTAAAAAAAACCCCAACCAGACAAACAAAAAACTCCACCACAAAAACCCTAAAACTTCCAAAGCAGTGGTATGATTCACCTGCCTTTGGTTGATGCTTATTTGGTTTTCAGGGTTTTTGAGGCCTCTGTGATTATTTGCTGTGGTAGTTTGCAATTCATGTTCTCAGTAATGGAAGTAAATGTGGGATGAGCAGCAGCTGTGTTCACCAGAGATAGTACAGTGGTAATCCAGTCTCATCTTTTGCAGCAAAAGCTTGCAGGGATCAGGCAAGGGTTTCTCTTGCATGTACCTCTGTGCAGTTGATTTGGAGGAGTGTGTCCTCTGGTGTGTTGGGAAATAGTGACATTGGCAACTTCCTGCAGCTTCTAAGAAGCCGTTTGGGAACCTTTCCCAGAAATGAAATAGGCAAGTGAAGGCCAACACGAGTACCTGGCTGGGAAGCTTCAAACAGGGCTGAAAGTAGTGTGTTAGTGAGTATGGTCATTATGCATAGGCTAGTTTTAGGCTAGTGATTCAATCCTGAACGGGGCAGTACAGCCAGTAAGAGACAGTGACAAATAAATTGCAGACCCAGATGGCTACTTCTGTAGAACTTGTGTTCCTGAACATTTTCTACTATTCCAAATCTAGGGAAGTAGAGCTAATACTTCTCAATGACAATAATAAGGTCCTGGATATATCTGGGACATTTGAATAGTTTGCTGATAGAATCATGTTGGAAACAGAAAAGTTCAAACTGAAAGTTTTACCACATTCAATATCTACTCTTGGCCTGGTCCTGAGACCTCTTTGTGCCCTAATGTCTATACAGCACTTTCGACCTGCAGAAAACGTGGGCTGGAAACATAGCTGAGCCTTCTTCTGTGGTTTGCTGGGGGGAAGTGACTCGTTTATATTGTAGTTGTGCTTAATATGCACAGTAATTCTTTGCTTTCCTGATTCAAGGTCCGGGATTGCTTTCTCAGATTTCTGGTAGGTGGCAGTTTATAGCTGAGTCAGGCTGGAAGCATTTCCAGGCTAAAAGTGTTTATGTAGGTATGTCTATATACTTTAAAGAGAGGAAAGGACTTGTGTATCTGTGCCTTTTCTATATTTAGCTGATACTCCCCCTCCTGCTTACCTGCCTCCGGAAGATCAGATGACACATGATACCTCCCAGCCAATGGATACCAACATGATGGCACCCACAATTCCCCCTGACATACACAGAGGAGGTAAAAACACTTTTTTCTTGTCCTTGGTTTTGCTTCTTAAAAGTAAAGAATTTTCAGAACTTACTTTTAATAACTGAGTTTTAGTTTTGGATGTATGTTGATTATGGAAATTTTTAGCTGTAGGAAAGAAAAAAAAACCCAACCATATAATTTTTTTCTGTTGTTGTAAGGGATGAAATGGTAAATCTGGAGATAAAAATTTATAAATTTAAATATTTAGGACAAGAAGCTATCGCAAGTAAAATGTATGGTGTTTGTTACTTTCTTACTCCCAACTAACTCAACAACTAAAGTTGTTTTATGTTTCATATCTGGAACTTCCGCTAATCACCAAACAGAAAGAATTCCTGTGATGCTTCAAATTGCTGTGTGTGATGCTGAAATGACACGTGTGCAAGGAAAGGAATCTTTTTCTTATGAGTATGTTGACTTACTGAAACAATGCAATTAAAGCTATATAGAGCCTACTGAGTTGTGGATGACAGTAGAGGTGGTCAGGTATAACTCTCCAAGCAAAGACTTGATCAGAGGACAGATGCTAAAGTTATTTAAATGCCCAGAGACATTTTACCTGGTCAGCTGGAATATCTGTATTTTTAACTCTGAGACAGTACATCTCAGAAAATTGTCTTTTCTTATTATGTTTTTGTCCTGAATTCTAAACTTCAGCCCTTAAAGAGTATGCTCTGCTTTTAATAATTTACCTTTCTCCTGGTCATAAGGGTGTTTGAGGGTTTCTTTCATATTTGGTTTTGTTCCATCCTCTCCCACCATTTTTGTTTCATATTCGAGTCATGCAGTGATAGCACTTGCTTCACAATTCAGAGCTGTCTGCCTGAGGTATGGTATTGCTACAGACTTTAAAATCTGCATTAAAAACCCGTATTGCTTTATGCACTATGACACAGACATCTTTTTACACATTGCTTTTTGAAGCTTTTGCAGCCAGCCGTGACTGCTGAGTAAAGGATTTGGTGCATTCATCACATTGTGAGAAATAGCCCCTTTAGAGAACACATAAGCTTACACAGTTGTGGCCCATGCCAAGAAAGAACAGCGAGCTGGTTGCTGTGCCAAAATGATTATCAAGATCACAAACATATGAACAATTTAACTGTTGTTTGATTTATTATTTTTTTTTTGGTACTTGTTTTTTTGCTAAGCTTGATGTCTGGTTTCAGGAAGTATATTTGCTCTCTTAGAACAATTTGGATGGCTTTTGTGCTAACTTATTTACTCTCTGTGTGGAATGAGTTTTGCATGTGATAAACCCCCATCTGTAACATTTCCATTTTTCACTGATCCAGTACATTCTGTGTGTATGTATAGTCTTTGCTGGCCCAAAGCACGTTTATCAATGCTTATGCCCAACTGCAAGACCTTTCCATGTTTGTCCTTCTCACAAAGTACATGAGTACTATAGAGTTCCTTTATTACATGAGAGTTGATAGAGAAAAGGGTTTATGTTTTTCTTGCTTTTTAACTTTTAACCATTTCAGAGTAAAAATTGTGTTTATTGGTATTTTTCCCTCCTAGTAGCTTAGTACAATGGATTTTAATTTCTGTCCCTTCATTAAAAAAACAGAAAAAACCCAACACAACACTTATATGTGCCTTCATGTGTTTATTACTCATATACATATGCTGTAATTGCACTACTTAAAAAACCCAGAATCTGCTGCAGGTTGTAAAAGAGTTTTTACTGTGAACTTACTGCAGCATTTTTGTTGCAAACTTTTTAGAAGCATGTTCTTCATGGTGATTTGTTAGTCTTAAGAGATTTGATTTAACAAGCTGCATCCTGTCAATGAAGTTGGGTAATTTCCATTGTTGGCCCATGCTGGGAATAGAGAGACTAAACGCACCTGCTCTGCATGACTTAAAGCAAATGTAAGGAAGTTAGTATGAAATCTGTGAGAGAGAGATATGATTCATTCTGTAAGAATGGCCAGCTGGCAAGATTTCTTCCTGACTTTGAGAACTGGGGCAAAGCTGCAGCTTTGATAATTGTTGGCATCTTCATGGGAATTAAGTGTAGTAACTTCTTACTGATAATTAATGACTGATTTTTATTATTCTTTACTGTGTTGGGGTTTTTTTAGTTATGTGAAAAGATAGAAAATGTTAGGCTATCAGGAAAGATCAGCTCCTTTTTACCAGTGTTTTAATCAAGTTATTGGTCAGCAGTAGACACTATGCTCATAAGTTTTGCCCAGTGGTATAGGATGTGTTCTCCTGCTTTTGATTATTTGCCACCTTTGGTATCTGCTGTGTATACTGCTGGTTTGCAGGGACTTTTTGTTTTTTTGTTTTGCACGTGTCTCTAAACTCATAGTGGTATGATCTGTGAACAGAGGAAAATATGGACGCTGTTCTAAATTGGCTGATTTCAGTAAAGTCTTGAGGCTGGGAGAAGCAAACCTCTGGCCAGAGAAGCAAGTTTACCCATGATACCAGTCTGATGTTCATCTTAGCACTTCGACATGGAGTTGGATCTTTAATCTCCAAAGTTGGTATCTTAGCAGCAAGTCCAACTGTGCTAGGCTTAGCAGTGAAATAAATAGCCTCCTTCATTTCAAAGAAGCCACACAAAGCAACCACATCCCTTCACTATCCTCCTTTTATTTGGAGGCAGTTTAATAATTTGTAGCTGTATTGGGCACTTGAAAGAATGTGCACTGGGTGCAGGTATCTGAAGAAGCCTGCGTGGTTGTTGTACACCCACTGGGAAGCACTTTTTAGTAAAGACCTTTGGTGTCATCTGGAGAAATTGTTCCCTGTGCACAGTCACAAGTGTTACCTCAAGACTTCCATGTGTTTCTAGAGCTTGACGGGTAGAAGTCGTGAACCAGGAATTTTCTGTTGTTCTGCATAATCCCCAGCTTCAGTTAGGAGCTATTCAAGAGGAGCTGCTTGTTACCAGAGTCTGGAAACCACATTCTGAGAAATCCTTGCTATTACTCAGCAAGTAATTCCTTTGGTGATGAACAGTTGCAGATTTTGCATTTGGTAGCATTTGATGAATAAAAGGTCCTCATTAAATAGTATCTTCCTCCAGTTCATCTGCTCTTCAGTGCAGCGTAATTGTCAGGATCCTGTGCGCTACGCCCTTGTTCAGCCTCCGATCCCAAGCAGTATCTATTCATATTGAAGATGTGCTTCATGCATGTTCTGCAGACAAATCTCAGTCTCTCTTAGTTTTTGAAGTCTGCTACCCTTCCCCCAAGAAGCCCAGGAGCAAGATTTGTGCATGCTCTCCTGAATGCTGAAAGGTTGATCTGCTGACTCCATATTTAAGCTACTTTGCTGTACTTCTCAGTACCCAAAGTTACAAATAGTCTCTTGTGCAGTTGTATGATGCTGTTTCTCCCTGTCACTCTACAACTTTATGGTAAGCACAAAGGTGACTTGTAATTTGGTATCCCAGTAAAATGAACTGAAGTAGAAATGAATTTACTAAATTGGTAAGAAAGCAGAGCTGTATAACTGCAGTGTTTCTCTTCTGTCTGGGCCCACACCATAGCGTATTGTAGAAGATGCAGCAGTTCACAGATAAGAGAGAAGAACCTTCACTTAGCTGCAATTGCTTATTCAGCTCATCTTTGTCATCTTCAGCCAAAATCTGCAGGTTTATGAATCTTTACATCACAAGTCTGTGTTCCAGCAGTGTTAGATTGTAACATTTCTTGTTGTTGCTTTACAGATGTTCAGGCAGTCGCTTATGAAGAGCCAAAGCATTGGTGCTCCATTGTCTACTATGAGCTAAATAATCGCGTCGGGGAGGCATTCCATGCTTCTTCCACCAGCATCCTGGTGGATGGCTTCACTGATCCTTCAAACAACAAGAACAGATTTTGCTTGGGGCTGCTCTCGAACGTTAACCGCAACTCCACCATAGAGAACACTAGGCGGCATATTGGCAAAGGTGAGTTTTGGATCTTCGCATCCATGTTTTGGGTTTGGGGGAGGGAGAGGGGGTGTTTCCCCTAGACATGACAACCTGGGCCACTTGCCTCAAGAGCAGGCTGGTCTTCCCAAGTACATGGTATAAGTGCTTGTGTTGGTAAATATATCATTTTCTGGTCAGATCGTATAAGCAAAGTATTCTTCTTACCTGGTGTGTAATTACAGAGAGCTTTTTACCCTTAATCAATTTTTAATTGCCCAAAGGCTGTCATAATCTTAATTGGAATGGCATCTTAAGATAGTTTGTCTAATGAAGTGTCTTGATTTAACTTGATTATTGGTATGTGTGGAAATCCAAATTATAGTTCTCGGCACCACATTTTTAGCTAGCCTTAGTTCCAACATAAATTAGCTATCCTAACATGTATTTAGAGAGACAATCTGCTAGAACAGCTTTCCAAATGCATTTATCACAGGCTGGTTACTCTTTCAGTGGGAATTTTGTGCTTCTCTTCTATGGCTGTCACAGTGTCCTGCAAAAGAGAAAAGCTTCTAGTTTATGTCTGACTTAATACAGTCCTCTTCTCTGAGAAATCACCTGTAATGCAAATGATAGGTAAAACTGACATTGCCCCCTGCAATGGGGCATTCCTGCCAGACAAATCTTTTAGGTGTTTACATTATTAAAACTCTAAATTTTCTGAGACATTTGGGTTCAGCATGCCCAAACAGCGAGGTACATGTTGTAAGTGCCAATTAATGAAATATCTTCCTCCTCCGTAGAGGAGAAAAGAATTGTAACTGAAGAGAACTTCAAGTTTAAGCCTGAGGTCTGGAGAGCTTTTCTGTACATGAGGTCTTGTGCGGCCCTCAGCAGTACAGCACACCTGTGTTGTGCCACTCAAGTCCTAATATTTCTTCCTTCTTTTCCTCCCCATCCATCTTACCAAGTATCAGGATATTTATTTAACACCTCATTCATTTTCCTGTTGAAAGTAACCCAGCTGCAAGCAGAGTTCTGCTGAAGCGCTTAACTGCGTATGTACCGAAGCAGAGTGCGGAAGAGACAAGGATGCTGTTAAATAAGTACATGTGTGTAACTAATGATGATGTAAAACTGTTAGTCTTTGAGGAAGGAGGAGTAAATCCCAAACTCGAAGACATAGCCATAAATTTTTGCAGATCAGGTGAGAGTATATATGTACCCACACAAGTACATATGTAGTCAATCTTAGGTGACAGGGCACAGTAAAGGCTTTCTGACTAGACTTCAGTTTAGTTTTTAAATTCTGTGTTCACTTCTCTGACTCATGATGCTGTGGGAGGTAAAAGGTTTAAACAGCAAATAATCCATTTTTAAACACAAAAGGCAAATTTTTTTGCTCTCAAAGCCTTTGGAATTGAGTCCTGGTGACAGCAGATCTCCTCAAAGGTTCCCTTTATGTCACTCTTCTGAGGCTTGCTGCCATCAGTGGCAGGTGAGGGATCAGACAGTAGAAGGGGAAAGGACTATAAAATTGCTTTGTACCCTCATTTGACAGATACATCTGAGAAATGTAAAGGCAACTTTATTTTTTCCAGCTTGCTGGAATTGAAGTGAGCTGGAAAAAACCCTGCTATCCAAAACAGCATTCAAGACTTTTCCAGAGAATCAAGCTTGGGGCTGCTTTAGTATCTAGAAATTGCGCAGTAGGTTTCTGCTCTCTCCTCTTGCATTCTCAAGTATTGTTTTACATAAATATAATGAGAAAAACTTCAAGTGGTCAAGCTATCTAATGTGCTGAATCAGAACTACTGCAGTGCTTGCTAGTTTATCATTGAATATGCGGTGTGTTAAAATGCAGGAATTGCCAATTTCCCTTATATATATGTACATATGCACCCTCTGCTCAAATTGCCTATTGATGAAACAAAAAAGTAAATACCAAGTTTGAAGACAGACAGGTTATGGTCTGATATGCAAACATATTTCTGTGGCAACAGAGCATGAGAAATAGATACATAGTGTGAATTTGTCTCATCTCCTTATGTCAACCTTCTCTTCCCAGGTGTTCATCTCTATTATGTTGGTGGGGAAGTGTATGCTGAGTGTCTGAGCGACAGCAGTATTTTTGTGCAAAGTCGGAACTGCAACTACCATCATGGTTTCCATCCTACCACAGTCTGTAAAATCCCCAGTGGCTGCAGTTTGAAAATTTTCAATAATCAAGAGTTTGCTCAGCTTTTGGCTCAGTCAGTTAATCATGGCTTTGAGACAGTGTATGAGCTTACTAAGATGTGCACTCTCCGTATGAGTTTTGTAAAGGTATGTGAAAATTTGCTTGAGGTAATTTTGTAAGCAAAATAAATTTTTTTCTTAATGTGGTGATTTTGAATGGTCCAGTGCCTTCTTCCGTTGACCTGTTAATAGCTGTTAAATTTTAAGTATGGAATAATGTTCCTTAAGTGTAGGACAAATCTTAATGAAACAAAGTTGTCTTTGTGGACAAAACTCCATCTGATGCACATACTGTGAAAGCTTGAGGTGACTTGAAGAAGTCTTCATGTAAGTCTGTAGTCATTTGTGAAGCATTTCTATCATGTCTGTTAGCTATTCTCATTTCATTGAATTGCTTCTTGTAAATTTTTAGTTTCAGCTGAATTCTTGTATTTAGTATGTTTATAAACTGTGTATGTATATAGAATTATTTGCATAATTACTCTGGAATTATGGGGCTTGTCTTTTTAATTTTGTGGGATATGGTAAGATACAGTATGAGTAAGTTTTGAAAATAATTGAGTCATTAATTACCTGGCCTAAAAGTGGAAAATCCACCAGTTGATGATGTAGCATCAGCTTTTGCCCACTTTTTTGGCCATTGTTACGGTCCATGCTATCTCCTACTCTGTAAGAGGCTCAGCTGAACTTTATGCTCCTGTTTCTTTGGTGATATTTTTGGACAGTTGAGCTGGGACTGCAGTGTAAGTCATTATAGCAGTTGTGAGAGTGTAGATAGCATAATCCCCTAAATCTGTCTTGATGGCAGCTCTCAAATTAGGTGCTGCAGTAATTATTTAGAATAATATACATACATTTCTATTCTAGGAGGGATACAAGGTCAAGATTTGTGATGTGCCTGTGAGTGTCAACATAGGTACTGATATAAAAGGGCTGGTCACATACAGGAAAGTGGTCAGATGAAGATGGTAATATACTGAAGTGCTCTTCTTGACAGGAGGATAGAAATTTTCAGATGTGTTAGGACAGGGATTCCTAAAATGATATAGGTTGTTTATAGTTCTGCATCCTATAGAGCCACACGGCAGCGTTGCCTCAACAGTTGCACAGGACCTCTCCTGCATATTGGATGTTGCACCCCACAGTGTTTAGAGTGGCTGCCACCTGTGTTGGGAGCTGGGTAATCCCTTCATTAGGGGTGAATACAGAGCAGAGCTAGTTGTATCCACGGCTGTCTTAGTCTTGTCTCCAGACCTGTCCCAAAAATGGTTCACTTACAAAATGATTTTGAGTGCTGCTTAAATATCTGCTTATATCTTTGGTAATTCTGTAACTGAATCAGGTATGAGCTGAAACAAAACATGTCTTAACTTGAGAATTAGCCTGCTGGGGAATGACCATGCCCTCTTTTCCCAGAAAGGAAAGCTTCTGACTTGCTGCTTGGTTTATCATGCCCATCCTGTGAATGATGCTTTGGTTCTTGTCAGACAGATGCCTCACCACCCCCGCCACTTCCATAATGTCAGTCTGTGACCTCATTTTCTAATTTTTTGATCTGTTTAGAAGCTTTTCCCCCCATTTTGCTCTATTTTTGGTTTTGGCAGAGAAGACTTGATTATCCCTCTCTTCAAAGGCTTTATTGGGATATCATGCAGCTGGCAGTGAGGTAAGGGGAAATTTTGCACTGCCACAGGTTATGTCTTTAAGAATGTAAAGAATTCCATTCCAAGAGATCAAGAGATCTCACAATGATACTTCCTCCAAATTTTTTCTTTTTTTAAAAAAAAAACCCTTCAGATTTGTTTGTTGAAATGTGATAATAGTTGGCACCCTGCTACCCTGTTGATAATGACTGTTGAAAGCTAGAGTACTTTGGTAAGAAAGATGATGATCGAAGTATGCTTCTCACATATTTGATATTATAAAATAAGATTATTCTTTTTTTCTTTTCCCCACTTATGATTTTGTTTTCAGGGTTGGGGAGCTGAGTATCATCGCCAAGATGTAACAAGCACTCCATGCTGGATAGAAATACATCTTCATGGTCCCCTTCAATGGCTGGATAAAGTACTTACTCAGATGGGCTCTCCTCATAATCCTATTTCTTCAGTGTCTTAAAAGGTCCCAAGCTCCTGCGTTTTGGAAACAATTGAGCCTTGCATGTACTTGAAGGATGTATGAGTCAGACACACACATTTTATTTTTTTCCTCCTGAACTGGCAACAGCTGAATAAGAGCCATGAAAATACTTGACTTCTGTGACCAACTGTTGGATTCAGAAATAAAAAAAGAAAACGACAGAACAACCCCTTTAACATACTGCTGGTATCAGGAATTTTAGTTTACATTGTAACGTACTATTAGAAAGTTGATTTGCAGGGCTTAGTGCAACAGGGACTATGAAGCTAAAACCACAATCTGTCAGACCGAGTTCCTGAAGGATCTTCCTGTAGCTGGCACTCTGAGATTTGCTTTCTTCCTTACATTCAGCATTCACTGTTTCCCCCTGTGTCCTCTGGGGCTAAGAGCCGATGCTGGTGAAGTCTGCTTTTTGCAGGCTCTCTGTAGTACATTTTAAAACCATTCGTCTAAGCTGATGGTTGCTGTTCTCTTTAAAAGAAAGAAAAAAAAGTCATAAGGTTTAATCTCAATAACTGTGTAATAATATTTGAAATTGTGTCCTGACCATACTGCTGTAAGAATGTTAGGTATGTTTTTTGCTAAATGTATGTACGGTGTATTTGAAAATCTAGAAATTAATTAGATTTAGACCATAAAGGAATTAGGAATATTTGAATGGGGGGAGGTGGGAGTGGGAAGGGAAAATGACAACTGAAATGTAGAATATATTGTAAACATAGCTTGTTAGTTTAAACTGAGGTCTGAGTTTTGCTGTGCATTTCATTTTTATAGTGGCTTCATCTTGTTAATTCTGACTATTTTTGCCTCTTCATTTTCCCCCAAAACAATTGCGTAGCTAGTTAATTCTTTTACCCATGAAGAGGATGAAATGATTAATACCTGCAGTTTGAAGGCTGCAGCTCTATGTATTTCAAGACAAAATTGTACAGAGTGCTCTCTAACTATTGAGCAGTTTTATACATTTTATGTAACAGAAGTAGGCTTTTAATTTTGTAAGAGAATCTTGTTTTGCCAAACCTATTAACTGTTAATTGTTTGGAGGACTTCAAAATCCCTGTGTGAGTCTATTTCAAACTTTTAAAAAATATATATTTTTAATTTTTTTTTTTTTTACTGCTTGGTTTATTTTCTTCTTTGATCTTTTATATTTACATAAGCTGTAGTACTTAAAGTACCTTTATTCCAAAACTAGTGGGTCCTCTTTACTGGAAGTTTTGAATAAAACCTATTGTTACTGCTTACATTTGATTAAAACCTTGTGTTGTCCACTTCTTGGTAGACAAATCAGATAGAGATACAGCCTTAGAGGAGGAACCACTAGAAATGAGGATATGCTGAGCTTAGACATTTATGACTAGTACCGGTTAGTAGCTCTACTAAACTCATTATATGAGTACCCCAGACAGAAAGATTTCTTAACTAGGCAAGATTGGAATGGGTGCAGTAACACTGAAGTATCCTAGACACTTAGTTAAATTTTTGTGGGATTTTAACGTACAATATCTGTATGCGAGGAGATTTTGCTGAGGTTGCACTGTTGGCAGGCTCTCACTGTTCCTTGCCATGGTTGTGGTGAAGTCTCCATGCTCCTTTATCCATACCTCCGTCTTTGTTCTATGGAGAGGTGAGGGAAGGACTTCACAGCTGTGAAGTGTCTGTCGGGCTGGGATGATTAAGTTTAAAAGACCAGGGGTTGACTGGAGTTCCGGCACCTGTGCCTGGCTATAGTGGATCAGGAGCATGAGGCAAAGCTGAGCGACAGAGATGAATGTGTTTTCAGCCAGATGTACGGGTGTGTATGTCACTGTAATGAGTAACAGCCCTTTTTGGAGAATGAGTCAATCCCATCATTTTTGGTTTTGTTTTTTAAAAGAAGTTAATTCTATTGCTTGTTTCAGTATATGTTTTTAAAACTAACCCTTTTTCACCTGCTAAGGGATGAAAAAATTCCATAATGTTCAAGTTCGTTCCCTATTTAGGAGAACTTGGTTAGTGCCTTTTTTGTATTTCTAAGTTCCAAGAACATATTGATTTATTTTTTAAATATAGTTTAACACATATTTTTCATAAAGAAGCAGTCATAGCATAGCACAAATGTAAGCCTTAAAAATAAGGAAAAATTAAAGATGACCAAAAAGAGAAAGAATGTTGTTTGTACTTCAGTCACATTTCCCCCACTGGATGAAAGCTAAGAGAAGTAGTCATGGTTACTTGTGTGGCTTTAGGAAGGTATGGAGAGAAACAATTTGTGTTTTAACATATCCTGTATCAGAATCATGGACCTGATCTTCTAATGCTCACTTAACCTGGTATTGCTCTCTAGTTTGATAAAGCCATTCCCTTACTAAATCACTTTTCTTGCTACTGTACCTATG